GAGAAATTGGATTTCGAGGACTTGATACAAATGTAAAGATTATTGAACTATGCATACAATTCTGCACAAAAATTACCAGAATAGATACAACCGTCAAACGAAGTCAAATTTCAACGTTTATTGAATTATTAGAAGTATGTAAAGATTTACGAGAAATCTATATCGATGATATGATTTATGTAGATGAATACACGGCATTGATAGGTAATAAACGTAGAATTACTTCTGAAGATGGAAACGAAATTCTTATACAACTTGGAAAAGTACTTCCGCGAAAAGTTCAATCATTTATATTTTATTTGGATTGGTGGTTTACACCGAATTCGTTAGAATCATTTTTGAAAAGTTGTGCCGTCAAAGAATTGAGAACACTCTCCTTTGCCTTATATAAATCTTTTTCTTCTAAGCATCTGGAGGTTATACTAAAGTATTGTTCTGGTACTTTGAGAAATTTACACCTTAATACGAATAAGCATATACCTGATAGAGATCTAGAAAAAGCTAGAGATAATATTGAGTACATTATTTTTGATGGGGGCGAATATATTGATGAGTATAGGTGTTATGAAGGATCCGATAAAGAATCTTATGATGACGAATTTGACATACATTACGGTGAGAAAATAGATGAAATTTATGATGACTTTGAATATGAAGAATATAGCGATAGTGATGAATCTGATGATTATGATGATTAAAAAAAAAAAAAAATCTTTAAGTGGATTGAATTTTATTAAATCGAAAAATTCCGGTTTCTTGGGTAAATTACAAACTTTGGTTAATAAAAATGTCGGAAACAACAGATTACATTAGTGCACTTTTTTGACAATCAACTTGTTCTAAATACATTTTACAAGAAATAGCACTTAAAAAAATCATTTCTTGTTGGTCAATGTTGACGAATGAATATTGTTAACTATAGGCAATTAGTAATATGCAGGATGAATATTACTTATTTATCTATAGACAGTTAGTAATATGCACTTCTTTGGATCACCAATTTTTTCGTTTCAGTTATTAATACTCAATATATATATATCTATATTTTTTTTGTTTATATAAATGTGGTTATATTTATATTATTAGAAAAAAAAACTTACGTTTTAAGAAAAAAGATATTATCCCTTACATCGACAGCAAATTTGCCTGCTGGTATAAAATGGAACTATCCGTCGTGTGTAAAAATTTAACTGTAAAACAATGTAAGGGATAATGATTTTAATACAATAAGGTACGA